CAGGCGCCGACAGGGGCTCCCGAGACTATGGGAAGTCAATACATGCGGATACACTGGGTAAGCATAGTTCACTTACGTGCCATTTCAGCAATGCTAAGAGCATGTCAGTATAACACGGAAAAGAAAGGCCCGTGGAGGGGAACCTACCTGACACGTTTTCTTTCTCCACCCGAGACTCCTCTGATGTAGTCATCGCCAACTAGACTTTGTGTTAGCAATCCACGAGGCTTAAGGGCCCTTTGATGAGAAGGCATACCCTTCGTGTTGTACGTGTGCGTCAGACCAAATATAGTCATCGCCACTTGAGTAACATACTTGGCGTATCGCTGACGAGTGATATCGCGCAACCGTACTTCAGGAGCTCTTGCAGCAGCAGCAAATTCCAGTGTTTGCCCGACTGTGAGGTGAGGGAAGTGCTTGTCCACCTCTTGATTGTAAAGAACCTCGCCCTTAAACTCCTTGTGCATTTTTTCCATCGAAATGCCGTTGTATTGAATCTCGGAGCTCTTACGAAGCTTTAATCCGTGTAGTTCTCCGCACAACGACTTCAGAAATGTCGAACATCCACTCCCGGGACGGCCCAAGACTATCAGCAGCTCACCACTTTTCAACAGCCCGTCGAAGTCACGTAAGATGTGTTTCTCGGGTGAGTGACGTAGAAAGCCCAGGTATTCCTGTGGCCTGAATGGGGCCATCAGCAAGGAGGGTACGCTGCTCTGATACTGCAGAGCTGATCCGGAGCCAGAGACATTCAGATTCTGGAAGACTATACCAGTAGAGGGAGGACGGGGAATGCCCTCTTTGTCCAACAGCCTGAGCACCTTCCGAACCCATTTGTTGTGGTCGAACTGACCACTCGTTGGATCTAGAACAGGGTCTCCCATTTCCAAGTTCTCAACAGTATCCTTGCGTTCAATGCTCGCCCCGCCAACGCCTGAGTCGGTAGTTTGACGTCGGGAAAAGGTGGACTGATAGTTGGAGGCTATGCGAGTCAACTCGGCTTTGCGGTCGGGGTCCATTTGCTCGAAGAATGTGCTATTCTCACGCTCCAGCTTGGGCGATCTGAGGGGAGTAATCTCGTCATCCTGACCGTTTCCCGCAGAAGAGGTGGGAGAGATGTCACTGGTCTCTTTGTTGCTAGCCATGGCCTGAGGTGCTTAGCGTATAATCAGAGACCGGTGGGTCAACGCTGATGATGAGAGAGAGGAGGTAGAACGATGAAGGCGCGCATAGAAGGGAATATTGTCAGTGAGGAAAGAGGTCAGAGGGTGGGATGGTATATGAACTGCTTCGCTCGCCGAGAGAAGTGCCCCACCAGAGCAACAGGGATTGTCCATGAATAGCAGGGGTACTTATTTTGCGCCAGTACATGGTAGGGTAAAATCTCCTTCCATCCCCTGCCGGTAAACCTCTTCGCTTCGAGTGCTCCTAGTGGTGATGTCATGATAAACCATGTGTAACAATGGGCCAATTGTCGTAACGAGGAGCGAATTAGGTAGCATCCACAGAGCACCTGGCACTTAGAATCTCTTTTTGAAGGTAATCATCGGAAATCAGCTCCTGAGCCGAGCCGCTCTGTGTCCTATGTTTGGAGGGAAACTGCGTCAGAAAGATCCGGATGCGGAAGATATGTCTAAGCTTGCAGATACTTATTCATGGACCCTGTCGTTGCTACCCAACCATATCATCCGCTATGCTCCCCAGACGGCTTTAAGCAGAGCTTAAAGTCCTTGTACCTATTATGATTCACAGGGGACACAAGTATAATACTCCTTGTTCCTGAGCTCAAATGAGCGGTCTCGTGTATGCTTGGCAATTTCAGGCTTTGAGTCTAGGACCGTGGCGACAAAATGATACAATCTGTTGTATTTAAAGAACTGGAGCCTTGTAGAATACACATTTGGAAAGCATTATGGGCCATAGTAGCTTGACGAAAGGTTATCATTGATACTCATACGATATCTTTTAAGCTGTGAAGTATGTGCCAGGTGTACTGTGTAGATCCCCCGGCCTCGGAACGGAGTGGAGTGTTAAGTAAGCGGATGTTCCGCAAAGCATCCGATTATGTAACCATGCACATAAAGAATCCATAACAAATGATGCATGCACCCATGCAGCAACGCAATCATGCACACATATTTACATCTTTAGGTCGCTACCCACTTCCTGCTTGCTGTCACTGGAGAATCACAGGGCTATCATAGGTCCTACATCGAAAAGTGCCTCAAGCCATTTTTCGCAAAACGCCATTCGCCCAGCAAGACCTAATGAAGCCAATAGCCTGACAGCACAATCCATGGGACCAACAAAGAACTTGACCCTTAGGGAAAGTAAACTGGAAGACGCGCACTAATCTTCATCTCACCATTGACTTGGGAGAGGAATACTGATAGCAAGTGAAACTGTACTCAATATGTGCCAGAGCAACACGCACCTCCACCTCCACCTCCGCATATCAAAGACAGGCGGGCAACTGAATCCGTCCGTCTCTTGGCAATGACGCAGCGCCTGCAATTGATCCGCAAGCTTGGGTGCCTTGACCTTTTTCCCGCTTCCCCGCCGCCATGAGGCTGCGTGTGCCGGTAACCGAGATGGAGACAAAATCCTCAACCTGAACTGTTCCTACGTAGCAACAATCTGGCTCAACAAGAGTAGATTTTACTCTTGAATGTTGCTACTTCTCCAGGGGAAGAAGCTTGAATCGCGTGTCCTACCGCACGCTCGCTCGCTCCTCCACTTATCGACCGGCCTAGATCGTCATTTGCAAACGATTGGTGCCAACACCTGAACAGCACGCTTGCAAGCACCAGCCACAACAGATCCGGTATAATAGGCGATCGACCATCATCTCTTACTGCCGCTCTGGAGGCATGATTCGGCTTCCCAAGTTATTTTATCAATTTCTTGTGCTCGGTAGACTTTGATCCTCACTGGTATCAGCAGGTATAGCCTATAGCCAAGGCAGGACGAGTCTCCACTCTGGCTATTCTGACTTCATCGCTCCCTGAAACTTCGAACTCTGCTTCCAGGAAAGATACCATCTTCTCTTCTGATTGATTCTGTGGAATTTCAATTGTCCCTAGACAACTAATGCAAAGGTTGGGATCTCAGCAATGGCAAGCGAACTTTTATCTCCCCGACACACGCGCAATCGCGGGGAGGAAGGATATCGCACACCGACGATCGAAGACACACAGAATGATCTCGGGGCGTTTCCATTCCCATCTAGAGGGGGCCAAGTGCGCGAGGCGCATACTTCGGCTCTTGAGGCGCTGAACCAACCTTCGTATCAACGGGCTGAAGCGCACGGCAACAAAGAGAAACGCCGGCGACGGGAAGTGGACTGGGCTACGGCGAAAATCGGATGGAAAGGCCGGCTTCGTCACTTCACATGGGCCTATTTCACATTGACCATGGCCACGGGAGGGATTGCGAACGTTCTGTACTTTAGTAAGTCAAAAATTCTCACGCTGGACATTCGCTTCATCAATTAATCTCGTCCTAGTTCCCTATAGATTTCGCGGCCTGGAGACGATTGGCATCATATTCTTCCTTCTCAACTTGGTTTTCTACGTTATAATCTGGTGTCTGCTGCTTACGCGCTTTTACTTATACCCTTACACGTTCAAAGCATCATTCTTGCATCCGACGGAGTCTCTGTTTGTTCCTGCATCGTTGGTTTCCTTTGGCACGATCCTGATCAACATCTCGCAATATGGACCCGACCATACCGGTCCGTGGCTCACGTACGCGGTGGGAATTCTCTTCTGGATTGACGCCGCCCTAGCCGTCATCTCTTCTGCAGCCATATATCTAATCCTGTAAATGCACCCCAGGCGTCCTTTCCTTGGGCTGCAAAGTTAATGTTCTCTCGCGCAGGTGGTCAACGCAGACGTTCACGATCGCTCAGATGACACCAATCTGGATCTTCCCCGCATATCCTATGCTAATCATCGGCCCCCACGCGGGAGTCCTAAGCTCGACCCTCGAACCCTCTCGCGCTCTCCGCATTATCATTGGGGGCACCACCATTCAAGGCGTGGGGTTCCTTGTCTCACTGATGGTCTACTCCGCCTTCATCTATCGGCTCATGTCCCAAAAGCTTCCTCGGGAGAACGTCCGCCCCGGAATGTTTGTATCCGTGGGTCCCAGTGGCTTCACCGTGTCGGGCATCGTCAACATGGCGTCTCACGCGAAGCGAAGCTTCCCCAGCGATTTTATGGGCAACGGGCCTCTAGCAGCGGACATTGTGAAGGTGGTCGCGGATTTCTCGTGTTTATGGCTCTGGGGGTAAGTGCATACCATACCTTATCCCTGTCTTTTGCAGCAGCCAACGTTTCCCTTTTCTAGGCTAGCGCTTTTCTTCTTCTTCATCGCGAGCTTCGCGCACTGGTCGGCGATCGGGCCGGGAAAGATGGTCTTCTCGATGGCGTGGTTCTCGTTCGTTTTCCCGAACACAGCATTGATCACGGCGACCTTTGCGATCGGGAAGGCTTTCTCCTGCAAGGCGATCAACATCATCGGATGCGTGATGGTGCCGCCTCTGATTTTGATGTGGCTGTTTGTGTGCTACATGATGGTTCGGGCGATCGTGACGCGGCAGATCCTCTGGCCGCAGAAGGGCGAGGATAAGGATGAAGGTGGATTCGAGATCCGTCAGATCAAGCCCGAGTCAGGGCAGAGTACACCTTCCGAAGAGGTCTGACTGCTTAGGCTATCTCCGGTTCGATATAAATATACCTGTGAGATATGAGTATATACTAGACACTTAGAAGTTATGAGCTATGATACTTACATGGTGGGCTACACCACTCAGTGCAGTGCAGTGCAGTGCAGTCCATTCCTCAAACTAAAAAGCCCCACACGTGCCCCACAGCCCCAGCGCCTTTCCCGCCCACCAATCAACAGCCCCTCACGATCAAACACTGCAAACACCGACACAATCTCCGAAAGAAAAAAAAGTGTATGGCTTCAAAGTCCGCGCCGTATCGCGACCAACACTCCAATCCTTGTCCACGCAGCCCACCAACTTTTCCAGTCATCCTACAATAAGATCGTCACCAGTGGCCTACTCCCAGCAGACTCTCCCCTCAAATCCACCCACACCCCCACTGCAATCGCGCATCCTCCCCCCGGAAACCTCCCACCATGACGGACGTCGGCAAAACTCCTTTCATAAAGGAGCTCGCATCCAGCGGTACGCACTCACGCCTCCAATCCCTACACCCTCCAACAAAACCAATACTAATGAGTATTCCGGTAGACAAAAAACTCCGCGACAAAGCCACGAACTCCCTCACGCTGTTCCTGCGCGCCAAAACCGACCTCTCCAACCTCGACCTCCTCAAACTCTGGAAGGGACTTTTCTTCTGTGCGCACAGCCTTGCCCCTGCCCCCCTGCCCCCCTGACCCCATCACCCTACACCCCACCCCAACTCTCTGAGCCCCAAATGAAATGAAAGTACTGACAAACGAAAGGCTTCTACCACTCCGACCGCCCGCTCACGCAACAAGCCCTGGCGCGGACGCTCTCCTACAACCTCGTGCCGACGCTGCCGCGCCCCACGCTCCACAAGTTCCTGCGCGCCTTCTGGCTGACCATCGGGCGGGACTTCCACTCGATCGACCGCCTCCGGCTGGACAAGTACCTGTTCCTGATCCGGTGTTACGTCGGGGTGGCGTTTGAGGTGTTTCTGAAGGGGAATGGCACCAGCACCCAATCCTCCGGGAACGATGCCACTGCGGACGGGAAGAAGCGCAAGCGGGAGGAGGAAAGCACCAACAGCAGCAGCAACAAAAAGGGGGGTAAGAAGCGGAAGGGCAAGGGCCAACAGCAGCAGCAGCAGCAACCACAAGAAGAAGAGGAACAGCAACGAGACGGGGAGGTTGATTTGGCAGCGCTGGAGTCCTACCTCGCCATCTTGGAGGAGGGGCCGCTCTGCCCCCTCAATTTCGACCCGGATCAGCCCCCGGCCAACGAGGCGGAGGATTTCATCCCCATGCCGCATGGGCCGGATGGGTTGCGGTACCATGTGATGGATATCTGGGTTGATGAGTTGGAGAAGGTGCTGGAGTTTGAGGAGGTTACGACGGCGGGGGAGGAGGGGACGACGATCAGAAAACCAAAGGGTCTGCAGGTGCCGCCGGAGTTGTTGTTGCGGCCGCTCGAGAGGTTGAGGAAGGAGAGTCCGTACAAGCCGGTGCGGGTGCGGGCGGCGGAGGTGTTGGAGGATGATCGGTTGGTTGAATGGGGGTGGAAGGAGCGGAAGGTCGAAAGTGATAGTGATGATGAGGAAGAGGATGATGAAGAGGAGGATGAGGATGCGGAATGGGGTGGGTTTGGGGATGATTAGATGAGAGAACGAACACATACAACAACAAAAGTTTCATTGCGAAAAGGGTTGACTCGGAGTTTGGTTCATGTACTGTACTTGTATATGCTATTTTTCTTTCTGGGAAGTCATCCTTGTTTGATGCTCCGATCCGGCAGATGCGGAGGTTGAACATTGAATAATTTATAACAATATCTATACAGATTCTATCAGCTACCCGTTCTTCTCTCTTTCTCTAGGTAGTGTACACTATGTATGTATCTTGTCAGGACAGGTTGATCCAACCCGAAACAGAAAGCAAGCCAGTGCTTTCCTCAAAAGTCCAGGGTATCATCGGAGTGCAAAAACTGGAAAACGAAACTGAAGCAAAAAAGGTATTCCAGCGACCGGTTCGGCCCCCTAAGGCCTGGGTCCCTCTGCCTCGTACAAGTGTCCGGACTTCGACAGCACAGTACCGAGACCCTTGTGAATCTCCCCCTGGAAGGCCTCAAAAGGAATGCTCTCCCCATCCACACTGATGTATCCCTCCTTCTCCCGAGGGACAAGTCGGTATGCTAACGCCTTTCGGATATTGACTTCGGGCATATCGAAGAAACCTCCCTCGGGGATTTCTGTCATCATTTTGAGAGATCTCAGCCGACTGACGGTTCCATCGATGGTGACAATGTCCATAAGCCCGTCATTGGGCACCGATGCAGGGAAGAAGTTAGTATCTTTCGACATAATGGCCATGTTGCCCGCATAAAAGTTGCCTAGAGTCTCAGCCGGAATCACCTCCCAATCCTTGGGCAACTCATCCTGTACAGTCCCGTAGACAAGCTCAGGCAAGCCACCTGACTGGTCTGCAGTGGGCTCAGCAGGGCGTCCAGCGGGCTGGCTTTGCGCATAGGTGTTGTAATGGTTCTTGATCGCCTGCTTATCGTCCATGACCACCTTGATCGCGAGGTCGCATGGATAGACTGTCATGTGCATGAGCCGCTTGAGAAACCCATATGTGAAACGATGAGCCCCCATCCAACGGATATCGTCGGTCCCCAGATCAGACTCAGCGATAATTCCGAAGGACTGAGACAGAAACGACAGCGTGCGGGTGTTCCCCTGCGTGATGGACACCAGATCCAGCGGTGTCCGCAAGCCCTTCACGATCGCCAAAGCTGCCACCGAGATACTGCCGGTTCCGCACAGATTCCACGTCATGGCGTTGCCCGATCCACCAGGGAGCAGGGCCACGGCTACCTTGGCGAGCGCTTCCCGTGCATTGGGCTTCTGCGCCAATCCGTTGAAGACCTCATACGGCAACCCATCGCCGGAGCAGCATACAATCGCATCGTACGCGTTGATGTCGAGTTGTTGCACAATCTCCGTTGCGTGACCGCGGTGCGTGGTTTCCTGCACGTCAATTTGACAGCGTGCCGAAGCAAGGATGGGCGCTGCATACGTCGAATACAGCTTGGCAGCGTGACCCTGGCCACCGAAAGGATTGATCAGGACTTTGAGTCTCTTATTACGCTGGGCGGAGCCGTAGGCGGCATCGAGTAACTTCTTCATCCAGGTTTCGGCGGCGCTCTTCTCCTCCTCGCGGATCGAGTATTGAAGGGCGGCCACGGAGACTTCGTCTTTGTGCTTCGGCTCCGCATAGGTGATCGTCAAACCGGCCGGCGATAGATCGGCGTCCAAGACATTGTACAAAGAAATAGTGTGGGAAATTCTGGTAGCTAGAACCGTGGGAAATCTGTCAGGCCAGGGTTGCTGGGCTTCTACTACAGTCGTGGGTTTTGTGAGTTGGAGTTACCTGCATCCTTCCGAATCCGCACTGTACAGCATCCGCGCTCGGATTTGCGGCCGGAGCGTTCGTCTGCGCGCACCCGAGGTTGTGGTTAGTTATCGAGAACGATGGAATCAAAATATTTCAAACCAGCCATTGAGCATCTAGACCTACCGACAACAAGCAAAGAATCGCTTCCCAGTGTTAGGGTGATCGAGTCGCCTACTGCCAGGGTGGCATCGTGCTGTAGGAGCTGATCCGAGACATCCGCGGTGTTGAAGGAGGGCCGCGAATTGCTATCGGCGGTCGTGGTAGCCATGATAAAGCCCGGCAGGAAAGCCGAGAGAGGGCGACACAGACGGAGGAGATTCGGAAGAACTGGCAATGAACAAAAGGCAAAGTAAGGATATAGGAACAAACAATACCTAAAAACAGGATAAGAATAATCTAAGAATAAGAGCAGAGCGGGCAATAGATAAGTAGTAGTAGTCTTAGGTGAGGAGGAAAGCGACATGAAGGGGTTTAAGGTGGAAAATAGGAAAGAGAAAGAGAGAAGTAACCAAACCAAACCAAACCAAAGCGGAACGGAGATTATGCCCGGTCTTTATCGAGCAAGGCTCAGGAACGAACGGTCCCTCGAACGGTCCCTCCACCGGACCCTCTCTCCACTTGGTCGGTTTCGCCTCTGCGTCTCTCTCTTTCGCTCCCTCTCTCGCTCCCTCTTCTATTTGAGTACGAACACGTACCATTCGATTTCTAGACGATCCCCAGATCCGATTCCAGAATCTCCCCAATTTTGTGGAATGGATATCTCCTGTCATTTGCGGAACCAAACCAGCGCCTCTTTGGAAACACTCCACTGCTGCACCATCGGACCAATTGGTTTCAGCTCGCCATCCCGCATACTTTTGGCCCAGAACTGGAACGAACAGCCTACAGTACGACAACAATGAACCGATCCTGGGTTGGTTGGAATTCTAAGAAATCTTTCATTGAGTAATAAAGTCTTTTCTCATCCGGTACAAAACAGGAAGAGGCATAATAATCAACAAAAATTCGTCCATTAGAAGAACACAGAAGAGTGAATAGGTGCATAAGTTCAGATAAATCGGTGGGTCCAGCAACAACAGGGTAATGGCTATTCAAATACGATTCAAAGGCAACACTTGATTCATGCCGCAGATGCCTTGAGGCCCTTCAGCGACCCCAGGCTCAAAGCCAGCCCCTGAGAACGACTTCTTATCCGCACAAAACCGGTGATCGGTCCATCATCACCCTCCTTCTCAATGCTCAGGTTCGCCAGGGCGTCCTCGCCTGTAGTACATCCACGGTCAGCAACAGGGTCACAAATCGTATGGGTGGAGAGGGTCGACACTTACCAAATACGCTCCGGGCATATAGGTTGGCGCTCAGGAACCGACAGTCGCCCTTAAGGGAGGCCTCGGGAGTCAAGCAAGCCATGTTGGTGCTCTCCATGAGCTGCTTGAGGAACTCTCGAAGGCTCTTGGCCTTGGAGTTAATGTTTACCTTGTTCTCCCACTCGAACTCTGTCCACATAGTACGGAACTGAGTCTCAGTGCAGTGCGCGGGTTGGATGTAGTCCATGATGTCTGCATGGATGTCGTTCAAGATCACCACGTGGGTTTCCGTTGAGCTAGCTCCGTCGTAGACAATGTTGCCGAAAATCACACCAGTATCCGTTGACGATACCTTGACTGTAGCCTGCACGTTCAAGAAGTCGCGGGGTCCGAGGTTGTGTGTAGTGGGTCGCTCGACAACCTTGAGGTCGCCCAGAGTTGCAAATTCGACGCTAAGGTTCTGCAGGGTCTCGAGGGTCTGGTTAACCAACAGCACATCCAGAACAATGTCGAACTGATGAACTGTAACGTAAGCCTCAGCGTAGACGGCATCCGAGAAGCCGGTCAGCTGGACGACCCGGCTCAACTTCGAGGAGACAGTCTCCACGGTCGAGTCACCGCCAGTGGCCTTGGCGAGATCCAGTTCGATTTCCTCCGCGCCTTCAAGAGCTGCCTTTTTCGTAAACTGCCGGATCGGAATAGCGTCATCTACTTGCACAGCAGTCTTGGCCTTCTCAACAGCCTCCTTGGCGGCTCTCTTCTTATCCTCAACCTGGACCATGGCGCGGAACGCTTTCCGGGTGTCTTCCAAGAAGGTGGTCTCCAGCTCCTTCTTCTCAGAGAACTCGGCAAGTGAGCGCACACAGCACATGATGCGATCTACTGAGTCTTCATCAATAGGTGCCTTGACGAAGTGAGACTGACCCACGCGGATAATGGAGATCATGATGAGCATGGCTTCTGCCCGCAGAGCATTAGTACGGGCGGCGTCCTGGGAGACCTCCGAGTGACGCATAACCAACTTGGTGAGAGTGGAAGAAAGGACAGTGGCCAGATAGTAGTCACCGTCTAGGATTAATTGACGAAGAGGAGGCTTCTGTGCGGCCTTGACAGCTTCAAGGCGGGCAGCAGCAGCCGACTGGCTAGTGAGAGCACTCTCCGTGGCATACGTGCCGTCAGCCAGCACCTTGCGGGATCCGGTCGGAGCAGCCGGCTTGCTGTGACCATTGGGCTGATCCTTGAAAGTGGTGTCTTCCGGTACCTCGTCAAGGAGACGTTGTTCCGAGGCGAGAATGGGAATTTCTCCGAGACTTGCTCTGATACGCTTCCACGCCTCGCGAATATCGCGTTCCTCCAGAGAGTATTCACCAACAACCCATAGAACGCCCCGGTAGACCTTGCCCGCACGAACTTCGCTCAAGGTCGAGACCAACCGGTCAACGATGGAGTGTCTGAGGGCGGGGAACTTCTCTACAACCTCCTTCACGAAAGAGATTACGTCGACGGCCGAGTTGTTGTTGAAGTCGGCGATGAAGTCCATCAGAAGGTCGACAACGCTTGCAGCGATCTCCGAGAAACGAATGGCGCAGTTGTGTATCGACTGGATCAGCAGCTGGCGGTATTCACTGTTCTGCACATGCTGTTAGCTTCGGATTTGTCAAAACAGGACGATAAGCTTACCTTCTCATATTGTTCATCAACAGTCTTCGCGAGCTCCTTCTTTAGCAGCATAACGATCTCCTCAACATTCTTGCTTGACACCATCTCCAGAGCGATGCCGAGTGCCTTACGGCGAACGTCGATGTCGGGACTGGAGAGGACACGGAGGATTTCCATGGTGAGGTCATCCAGAACACCCTCGTTGCGAATGCGCAGCTGATCAACACGGTCAAGAACAATGAGCTTGACGTTGTTGTCGGCCTCCTTGATGCAGAGTTCAATCAGCTTGCCTGCCGCAGCCTTCACGGCGACCGGGTTGCTGGTGAGTGCCGTCAGAGAGGTCGCAGCTTCATAGATGACAGTGCTGGTCGAGGCATCTAGAAGGTCAAAGATCAAACGCAGATATCTCGCCTATAAGCAGCCGTTAGTAGCCTGCGCAACCATTGATGTTCTGCGACCAACCTTGTTCTGAGAGTTCTGCACAGCATCTTTACGAATGAACTCAAGCTCCGCCAATTGTAGCAACTCATCAGTATTGGGAATGCTGTCGAAAGTGGACGAGAGGTACTCCAATGCCTTCTGATGGCTGATCGACATAAGGGCCGCGAACGCATTGCGCTTGCAGGTGCCGTCGGTCTCGGTCTCGAGGAAAGTCTGAATGAGTTCTGGCGCGTCCGGGATCAGGGATTCGGAGTGCTGGAAGATCGAGGCGACAGCCCAAACAGCGTTCTTTCTCACGTATGCGTGGCGGTGCTCCAAGCAGGAGCGTGCGGATGAGAGGAGGGGTTCGATGAGCTCCGGCTCGCGGAGTTTGCACAAGAAACGAAGTGTATTGCCTCGGATGTACTCGTTGGGATGCTGGAGATCATTGCGAATGCCGTTGCTGTAGAACAAAGCAACCATTAGAGACAAGAATTGGAAGTCTAGACCACGGCGAGAGAAGTATGCATTTCCTTACCAGACCAAGATCATCTCTTGCTTGAGTTTGCCATTGGCGTCGAGCTTCGGGCAGATTTCGTAGTAAAAGTAAAGCAGTTTCTTGAGGGACTTGCTCCGGGAGGGCATGACGAAGCGAATGATGTGCATGAGCAGCTGTGGCATGGGATCTCCATTGAGCATGATCGTGATGATCCGCCTCATAGTGTCCATCTTCGTCTCATCGGTACCCTTCTCCAACTGCAGCTTCAGCTCCTGCAACGAGGGCTGATCTGCAGTGTTGTCCAAATGGACCAGACTGTATGCATTTTCCAAGAAGGAGGCCATCGTGATTGTGTGGGTGAAAGCGAAAGGCCGTAACAGGAGAAAGTCAGGAGGGAGGAGGAGAGCTTAGGCGTGGTCAGTACAGGTGGTTGTTTGGGTTTGGTGGTTCAGGGGATGGCAGCGCTGCGCACCAGGTCAACTCTCCCCAATTGGTATTGCGGGGCTGACAGAAAGAAATGAATTAGTATAGCTGGGCTCCCCTCGCCTGCCTAGCGTTCATCAGTGCAAGATGTTGACAGTCGGAGGGGGTGCGGACATTCGAGGCTCAACCTGGCCATTTGCGCGGCGGAGCAAGCTGTCCGGAGTGTGTGAATGACTAAGCCCGCCTGGACCAACCCGACAAACCAGGCACTTCCACCCACCAGGAACGCGCCCATCATTTTCACTTGCTCCGGAGCATTCTCGACGGACTGGTTGGATCGGCCACCAAGTTGCAGGTCAACCATACACACAATATGTCAGGCCAAGGCGAGACCTTCTATCTCCGCTACTAGTAAGGACAGCCTGTATGAAGCCCAGGTTTCCTCAGCTGCTGACAGCCCATGCAGCTCAGGTCACTCTGGGCGGTTTGGACATGAGTTTCTAGGTTGGTATCCTCTCAGCGTTGCAGCTGGCGAATGTATGAGTTAACGATCACTAGAATTTGATTTCCGCACCCTTGGCGATGGCCGCAGTGCTGCCGTCCGATATGCCAACAACTCCAATTACCGCAATGACTCCCTCATCCGCAAAGAAAGTGAGTTCCCAACAAGGTGCGGTGATACTGGGTTACAAGAGCTGATACAATCGTATAGTGTGTGTCAGTGCGGCAATGATCCAGGAGGTCAAGCGCATCATCAAGGAGAGTGAGATCATGAAGTAAGCCTTACCTTACCCTGCCGGATATTGGTTGAGCTGGGTATACTCACACGACCCAGGGAGGACGACTCCAAATGGCCTCAGAAGAACAAGGATGGACGCCAGGAACTGGAAATTAGGTTGGGTAATGAACATATCTCCTTCGAGGTGGGTTCTTGTATTGCAATCCTTGACTGTGGTTCATACATCCTGACTGTTGGACGCAGACCGCGAAAATCGGCTCCTTGGTGGACGTGACCGAGTCTGCCGATCCTGAAGGTCTCCGTGTCTTCTACTATCTGGTGCAAGACTTGAAGGCTCTCATCTTCTCTCTTATCTCGCTTCACTTCAAGGTGAGTTGAGCCTTACTTGTGCGCACCCCCAAGGCATTTCGGCTAATAGGAGTCCCTCGTCCAGATCAAGCCTATTTGAATTCACACGCGATGATTGAACGAAGAAGGACACAAATTGGCATAGGCGTTACTTGATATTTGGCTTAAGACACCCAAAATGATAGCGGATATACCTGATTTCATTCATTGCAGCACCAATTAGTAGCGCGTAGCAACTGGCGAAGACCAGGTCCGGAAACTGCAAGCGGGAAATGACGCAATGCAGGAGTGCCAGTAGAGCCAACGTAGCATGTGCTTCATGTACAATTGGCCACGGCTTTCACTACCAGAACAATGCCCAACTTAGTATGTGATATCAGAGAACAAAATGTGAAATATGTTGATGGGTGAGGGAACGAGGGAGAGGGCTTGGGGCGGAAGCAGCTGAAGATCATATCATATCATATCATATCATATCATATCGCATCGTATCACATCTTCATCTGTCCCTTTCCCCCCCTTTTTTTTTATTCCCTTATCAAAGCAGCGCGCAACCCTCCGATTAACCGCCCGAGGCGCCGCCGATTGCCCCGTTCGCCTCCCCCGCGCTCGCATGATCACAAAAAGCCGCCCTATCCTTTTTGGGCAATGTCTGCTGGCTGCTGCAGTGGCTGCGGTGCGCAACCCCCCCGGACTCATCAATCAAATCAATTGAACTACACTTCCTTTCTATTCATCTCTTGAGCCCCCCCCCTCCCCCATTCATTCCTCCTTTCCTACTTCCACTCCCCTCAATAACCCCAAGCTTACTCCTGCAACCTTCGCTCGGTTCTTTATCCGATTCCCTTGAATAATTCCCTTTTGATCCTAGTCTCCTTTCCTACCCTGCGGGCTTTCCGAATCCCACGCCCTGGTTACGAACTGCATGCTTGCTTTTCCTGCTTGTTGAACTCCCCTCCGTCTCCTTGCACTCCCTCACGCTTGCTATAAGTGCACCTGCTTCGGATCCGATGTCATTCATTTCTTAATTCGCCTCCAATGCCGACCCCGAGTGACATTACATCCAGTGTGAATGCTTCGTCAGGCCTAGAGGAACTCTCCGCTCGTTCCACTTGCCCACCCGAGGTCGAGAGGCTGCCTTCCTGGAGAGAGTCTCGAGCACCCTCCACTCTTTCCGATCGGGATGATTCCGAAAGCTCTTTGTCTCAGCTCATCTCTGCGGCCCACACGGCGCAGAATGCCCTGATAGATGCGACCGCAGGCTCAACCGCCGAGTCTTCGTCCGGTGGTAGCCCGATGAAAGATGTGGCAAAACCCGAAGATGAGCCTGCCGCGGGGAGGTTGAGTCCGGCTGCAGAGCCATCATGCTCGACCAGCCAACCTCCGTCGGTCACTTCATCATCGAACACCTCGCTGTTAAGCTACGAGTTCTCTAATATTCGGGTATGTTCTAGACTAAAAATGGCATGGTCGCGAGCTTGGTCTGACTCTGGTAGCTCCTCCCTAACTACACTTCCTCTTTCTTGCGCCCGGGAAGTAAATTTACTGGCACGCAGCAATCCGATCGGCAAGTCTACAATGTCGATGTCGAGATAAAGCATGTTGACATGCAAGAATCTTATCTATGTGGATATCTTCGCATACAAGGTGCGTGGACCGCAACACAAGGGTCTAATACCGCCCATGACTCACGTAAACCACACCTGCAGGTCTGACGGAAGATCATCCCACTCTCACGACGTTCTTTGAGGGCGAAATTATCGGCACGAAACATACCTTCAAGACTAAGAACGAAGCATGGGGCGCTACAGAGAAGACCGATATGCAGCATTGGAACAGGTTTCCTGCGTGGCGTCCGCTATCCAAGCAAGCAAGGAAACCCGATTTCACGTATCGCAATTACGCCCAACGTGAACACATTTTCATGCGCTGGAAAGAATACTTCTTGGTGCCCGACCATCGCGTTAGATCCATATCTGGTGCAAGCTTTGAGGGGTTTTACTACATTTGCTTCAATCAAGTAGAGGGAACTGTTGCTGGCATATACTTCCATGCGAAGAGCGAGAAGTGAGTCTTCCGAGAAGAGTACCTACATCTTTAGTGCTAACCTGAGCCACTTTACTTCAGATATCAACAATTGGAGCTCAAGCATGTGGAAGACCATGGCTGTACTCCAGCCATGGAATTCCGTTAAATTCCCCTTTCCTGCAACTTTGGCCCGGGGCCATGAATGATTCCTGAATCAGGCTATCAACCCTTTCCCTGGCATTATTTCATTTAATTGTTCTTTATTCTTCCTTTCCACACCCATACCCCGCCTTTCGGCGGCAAAGACCTTCCTGTTTACTATATGATGTCTCGAACCTCGGAAATGCGGAGCGTTTCACCCTTCTCGAGTCGTTTCTTGACCGCTTTACCATCCCAGCGGCCAATCGGCCCCAACGCAATGGGGGTTTCATGCCACCTTGATGAAGACACGCTTTTGTCCTTCCAGTCTTCTCTTCTGCCTTTCCAATTCTTCCGCTTCGGCGTACAGATGGTTGTCAAAGTTTTATCTCCCAGCACACCACACTTACGGGTCATGACTTGTTTGTTTTCTTTTTCCATCACCCATGCTTACTCGTCAGGTTTCTTCTTCTCATTCTATAGGGCTATCATGAACAGTTTATCACGAGCAGAGCGAAAGTCGGGCATGTACTCTCATTCCATTCTCTATGGTATGCTTTTATCATCGTTTGCTTGGGTCTCTCCATTTACCCCACTTATCAGTCTCCTCGGTCACGAAATCCGCTTTTTATTTTATTTTCTACATCGAAGAGCATTAGTTAGGAACAATAGTGTCCGCGGTTATGGAAAACGCGATGACACGGTGATTCCCAAGGTTGATTCACCTTTACCATTATCAAGCGCCTCGCCAGCACCGAGTAGTAGTTACCCACTCAATGTAGCTAGATAATAATAAGAGATTCATTGATCCTGGATGTATTGTTTCAACATCTATAAATCCAATTCTACTAATTTGGGCATTGAGTAATCAATAGATCATCTGTGAACAATCTGGGTAATGTAGAAATATATTGTACTTGTATTCTCTCTCTCAATGCAGATATTGCTGAATAACTAACGAAAAAGAAAGAGGCCCCAAAAAAAAGTCCAAAAAGAAAACGCTCCTTCGTATGCTTGGGCGTGGTACGAACAAAGAACCAATACGAGACACAAAAACAATCCCAGGATTCAGCATGATTGCCGAAGAAGAGGGCCACACACATATTGCCCCTCCCATAGAGGAATTACAACAACAAATCGCAGGTCGACAAACTCGTTTCATAGTGGTATGTCGAGATGACCAGACAAAAGCCAAAAAAAGAGGGCCAGAATATATGTAGTATAATATGCCGACAACTCGTATGGGGAGGAGAGAAGCCAACGGCAAAATAAAAAGAAAAAAGAGCAAACCAGACCACAAGACCAGTAGTGATTTGGTGGATTAGAAATGAATGTATGCAGGGTATCAGATGCGGAATCAACAGGCGTAGTAGGGGTAAGAAGTGTGTTGCGTGGGATAACAATGATGGCGATGGGGCTGGGCAAATGCGGCTTTTTCGAAAGAGAATGCATGAAGGGCAGGCAGAAAGCAAACATTCAACACAGCTTGGGTAGGCGTCGAGGGGGGACGGAAACCAGGCTGCACTAGCCGTAGGTTGAGTTTTGGCGGCTGCCCGAGGTGGAACTGCTGGCGCTGTTCTCACTGCCAGGCGTGGGGGCATCAAGGACGACCTGCTGGCGGATGGAGACGATCCACTCGTGCTGGAGGAGCTCGGCCGCGGTGGATCGCTTGAGCGGATCACACTCGAAGCAACGACGGAGGAAGTCGATACCCAGATCGCTGAGTTGGTCGCGGCTCGGAAGCTGTGGTTGGTTGCCTTGGGCGATGTTGTACATAATGGCCCACTCGTTGTCCAGGGTCGACCAGGGTCGACGGCCAGTGGCCATCTCCAGGATCACACAGCCCAGAGACCAGATGTCAACTGCGCCTTGGCGGTGGATGAGCTTGGAGGTGTCGCCGCGGATCACTTCGGGGGACATGTACATCGGGGTGCCGGTCATAGTCTTCTGGTTCTTACCCCAATTGTTCTGGGGGATCTGAGAGTCTTTGGGTACGATGGCGTCCTTGTGACCAGTGCCAGAAAAGGCGTCCATGGGGGCGACAGTCCTTCCTTGGCGGGCGATAATCTTAGCGGCACCGAAATCGACGTACTTGATAATTCCATTGTGGTCAAGGAGGATATTCTCGGGCTTGATGTCGCGGTGGATGATGCCGGCCTGGTGCAGGTACGCCAATCCCTCCAGAAGCTGGAGAGCGTAGACCATGATGACCGTCTCATCCTCAACACGGCCGTGCTCGAGCAAGCTCGCAAGAGACCCGCCAGAGCAGTACTCCATGAAGATGTACACTTTGTCACGGTGGACTTCAATTCCGTGGTATGAGACAATATTGGGATGATCAAGAACTTCCAGCACGCCCATCTCATCGCGGATCTGTTGTGCAATCTTAGGAATGAGCTGAGGGTCCTGCAAGCGGATCTCCTTGACAGCCATAAGGTAATTGCTGTCGAGGTTGATTGCAGCATAGACGGATCCGAACGTTCCGCCTCCAATGAACTGACCCTGCTGCCAGCGCAGAGTGACATTCGTAGCCGAAGACGAGAGCACGGTAAGAGATCTATCAGCCTCATTGGATCCCTCCAGAACTCTTCCGAGTGCTTGACGCTTCGCATCCTCATCGACTCGCCGATCTTCAATCTCGATCAAGTGAGCCAGGCGCTGTTCTCGCACAAGCTTGGTCGCTTCCTCATCCGTCAAAACTCGGCCTGCGGCCATTCTTCTAGAGCCGGCGCGCTCTTCCAAGCGCTGCTTCTCTGCCTGAGCTGCGCGAGAAGACCGAGCGCCCATGATATCGAAGTGAGATATGAGGAGTGACATACACCCCGCCACTTTCTGTCGTAGACGAGCAAACTGCGCGTCGTCCATGGAAAGTAGATGTCTGCTGGAGGTAATAGCCATGGCGAATTCAAGGGCAGAGACAGCCCACTTGAAAGTCTTTCGATCAGCAGCATCACAGTCGTCGCAAACGAAGGAGACCCAATCAAGAGACAAATCCACAAGTCTCGCACTATTCATAGCGCGTCTGTTAGGGTCAACATTCGAAGAACGCTTTCCGAATTCCGTGGCAAAAGCATAGCATGCTTGTACCAGGTCATGATTCTCTACTCCCTTCTCTCTCAGCTGATTTCGGATAATTGCAACGCTATCCATAATTGTCATGGACAGCTTAAATGAAATCTTCTTGATCTTATTAAGTTCCACATTAACGCGACCGAGATTGGCCCGTTGCTCAATGGCCATGTCGAGATGCGTTCCAGTCAGATGCGCCAATTCAGCCCGAGCATTGGCCAGGCGCTGCTGGGTGCCTTCGACAACGAGGCGCAATTTCCCTAATCGCAAGTCTGTGGGGTGTTCCATGGTTTCGAGCTGCATCTCTTTGCCAGCCCAAGCCAATGGCTTCTCTGGACGAATGACCAAGATATAGGGCGCGTGAGGGGAGTCTTTCGAAGCATCTTCATCACGGAAGGACGTGCCCATGATTGCTTGTAGATCTGCGGGCCGACCCCACAAGGCAGGATGCGCAAAGAGATAGACGTTCTTCTGGCCCGTGGTAGAGTTAGACTTGATAATGAAATGGTCCGATACGAGGAGCGCTTCCAGGAAGTCATAGGCAATGTCAGCTGGCAAATTGTACTCCGTTGCATTTTCAAACAATTGGCGCAAGAAGCGGGAGAAACGATAGAGCTTCCGTTGGCGAATACGTGTAGAATCGAGAACGCTCTTATACCGCTTATCCATGTCGATGGGATCCTCATTCGGACGTATCGTCAATTCCCGTTCAAAATGAATCATCAAGCGTTGAAGAGACTTTGCAGTCAAGGCACTGATCATAAGTTAGCAAAAATGCAGATCGTAGTCCGAGAGGTCCCGTACCTGTATTGCTCAGCAACCTCAATGTCACCTCCATCAAGTTGACGTCCGACCTCATTAGAGAATTCCCAATCCTGTTCCAGAATTTCCGCTTCCTTGAATGTGTTCTTGTTTGCATTCAGCTTCCAATTGAGGAGTCGGAAGTAGTACTTCATGGCGTCCAGGACAACCGAGTCAAAATTCTCGTCGATACATGGAGGCAAGTCCCAGCCGGGCTCAGGTCTGGCGATATCCATATATCGTTGCTTGATGTCCACCGCTACTTTCATCAAAATCTGGAACTGTGAAAGCATCTGATCCACCAAGATTGGGGACTGCTGAGCAGGATCTTTCATGTTCTTTGCATAGGAAAGTCGCATGCGGATAATCTCCTGGATGAGACGTGAGGGGAAGTTAATCAGGGTAAGCAATTCTTCGATATATGGCGGTAGATGACGCTTGGCAAACGAGCTGGCATTTTCAATCAAGGTGTTCTTCGCCTTCTGAATCACTTCGCCCACACCGTTGAGCATGTTCTGTCTCCCCTGGAGCGTTCTCAGCCCATCTTCCTTCATGATCCGGTCCAAGAAGGAGGATTCGTCGGTAAGATCACTGTTAATTGACTTTGTCCTTGGCTTGCTGAAGTCAAGCTCGTCGTTGCCGACCCACTTTTGCAGAATGGCAAGTTCAGTGTTGATCAAGATCGTTGTATTGTGCCAGGCAAGAACAGCATCACGACTGGATCGGAATTCATCAGAAGCAATGCGGGGGTGGGCGCTTTCCAGCTCTTTGTGAGTAGAATACAAGCTTTCACATCTCTCGATCTGTGCCACAATGTCCTCGACCTGTTGAATGGGAGGCTTCCCAATCTCCGTCTCACCCTTGATCTCAAACTTGATGATTTCTTCGATGATAGGTCCCAGTCCACTCCGGGCCTCTTCGATCAGCTTCCGCTGCAGAGCTACACTGCGCCCGCACGTTCTTGCCCTAACACCCAGCCATATCGCATTATTCTGGGCGGAGGACCGTTTGGAGTCCGTAGACCCTAGAAGACGTTGTTTCTCTTGCTTGACGACATCTCCCTTCAAGACAGAAGACAACATGGAGTGCCACTCCAGCCTTTCCTGATTTCTTGGGTTCTTCAGCTCATCGATCGTCGGCAGATTATCGTCGTTGAGGAAAAGTTGAATGTCAGGGTCGTAGGCATCATCTTCGAATGGAACTTCTGACGACGGTGAGGGTTCCTCCAGGTCCGAGTCACCGATTCCCGGGCTCATATTCTGAGCTTCGTCGAAATGGTTGTACCATGCCTGTGGGTCGGCCCGGATGCGCTGGACATACGCCTTCTCCTGCGCTCGATACTGGGCGTTCGGGTCCCTGCGGGGGGTTCGCTTCGTTGACGAGGATCTCTGACGGTCATTCTGAAAGCTGATGTATTGGGGCGGGCGGCGCTGAGGGGCGTAGGTGTTGGAAGGTGTCCGAGCGGGGCCGGACGGGCGTTGCGACCTCAAGTCACCTGGCAGACCGTCTACAGGTTGTGCTTTGTCGAGAGCGGAGGCACCAACGCTCGCACCCCGCGGGCGTGATGGTGTGCCCGTGACCCATGGAGGGATACCGCTGGGGAGGGATGGGGTAGGAGAGTTGGCGATGGTCGACGCGGGGGTTGGGATCTGGCCGTCGAAATTCTCCGTGAAGCTGGAGTCCGACCGGAGTGAGTAGGGCTGTTGCAGCAGCTCATCGGAGGAACCGGAGCCATCCGAGTCATGATTGTTCATATCAGGATGCTCCATGATCTGGAACCCACGATCTTGTTGGGACTCCATCTCGCATGGCCAGTGCTAGAGAGCGGGTTGGAAGGGAAAGCCTCAAGCGGATAGATAGGGGCTGTGGCGGTGCATGCTTCTGCTGCTGGACCGGTCAAAAAATCCCTGGCAAACGCGTCTGCGTCTTCAGCCGTGTGGCTTGAGCTAAAACGATCACTTCAGACTATTGATGGGTGCTCAGCGCGATAAGAAGTGTGATATAGCACTCAATGCCAATGACTGGGCGACGTCAGAGACGCTGTCCGGAGGGAGAATCAAGAGAGCTTCATTTAGAAGCGGAATCAAGGATTGCCCACCGCCCATGACTAAGCACATCACCGCCACACCAATCTCCCTCTGACTGTCCACCTTCGTTCCATGCAATCACTGAGAGCAGTGTACGGAGTAAATCAACTTTCAAGACTTGGATAGGACGCGCGGTCTGCGATGATAGGTCACTACTCGTATATCATTCTCATGACATTGCCACCAGGTCCTGAAGCTTATTCAGAGCCTTCACAAGCGAAGCACCAGTGTGGAGCAGCGAGTGCCCTGCTGTTCTCATGACACTACGGCGTTTGCGGAGTACTTTGTATACTTTAAATTATTTGCCATGCCATGATACCAGATCCCGTCGTCCACATCAGCGCTCATTCTAGTCAATGCCGGAAGATCAACACTGGCGCATGCTCTTTGATCCCGATGATCCCTCGATGATCTGCATTCGAGGAAATAGACGGCTGTCTCTCAATTTCCAGATTGGTATTGATCAACCCACCATACGCATGGACTGCGAGGGGCGTGCATTAGTGCCTCAGATCTGAAAGCCCGCGCTGCAGTTGATAGAGAAGCCCAGGTGCATGGTCAATGCCCCTGCGCAGGGAAGAATTGGTACTTTCGTCTTCAGAGCGCTGGCCGAAGTTCCCAGCAATGGTGACATTATGGGCGCCGCGCCGTCTTGGGTTCCACGGCGACACACAACTATCCTTACACATCCGGGTGCTGGGGCGCGAAAAGGCACTTATCTGCATCACCTGCAGAGAAGCAAGTATGAGTCTCGTTTCAGGTCAATTGATCCAGCGGTTGGGGAACAACAATGTTGAGAAGGTAGCGCTGCGGGCTTGAGGCGGGTTCCCCTATGCAACACCCCCAGTAGGCTATAAAGCAACAAAGATCCCAATGATAACCCAAGAATATTGAATGGTATGACGATTAAGTCTATCTAAACCCGACTGTCGGTAAAGTCATGGTTACAAGGAAGCGAGATAATCTCGAATGTCAGTCGTCGGACGGCCTCTTGATGCTTTCAAGTCATATCCCACCATGCACAACCGGGGAGAAAAGAGAGCCTTTGCCTACAGACACAAACCGAATCAGCCTAAAACCCGTTCACTCGCGAGTATCACGTTGACTGACCTGTCAGGTCGAACAGCAGGCGGAAAATTGAGGTAACAATGTGAGAGTGAGAGCGTTGTGGAGAGAATAGATATAACGAATTACTCAGGGGCCCGGTACATGCATGCTTATTGCCTACAGTCATTCGTTCCTCCAAATACTTAACCCTGTACTTTCTCATCTGCGTACAGACGTACAGAAAGACAGACAAATTGTGCTCTTATAATCCATTAAAAAAGTGAATGTCTGTATTCTGAAAAGCTTTGATAAGCTTGAAACTACATATACAGTGGTTGGCTGCTTCAGTTGCGATGTGACTCCGGAATCTATCAGCTTTATTCTTATTTTATTGAATAGTGTCGTCAACCATAGACCCGGGTGACTTTATTTCTTCTCTTACAGCTTATGCAGTGAGCATGTCCCTTTCAATATGGATGGATAACGTGGATTATGAGAAAGGTGCCAAGCGCGTGATGGACGGAGTCTTCAATGGCTGACCATGATCCTATATCCACAAACTCATTGCTGCGATTGCAGATGACATCGTGACCAGATACTGCTCAGAAGGAACAAGAACTACTGTCATGATGTTGTTCCCAGCCCGCAAGGCTGCTGAAAGATGTCGTGACTTCATTATCATTGCTATCGAGGCAGAAGCGGCGAAGGAGGGACTGGCTGGGAATGTCAAGACAATTGATTTGTGTCTCGATAGTAAGAGCTCGGTGACTCAATCGATAGCCATTGCTAAGGTGTCATCCTCAATATCCGCCGTTATACTTCAGGAAGATCTGTTCCCAATTGCGAAACAGTATTGGCGATTTCGGAGACAGGATCTGAAGTCGACAAGCAGAATTCTATCACGCACTTTCTGAGGAGGGTATCTAGTAATGGATTCTGCGAACACCGCGCCGGCATCGCAGACGCAGAAACAGTCGCAACCGATAGCGAATTACAAAGAGGCTCAAGGAGGTATCAAAGAGATTCCGCCATAGATCATCGTCGAACATCCCCCGAAGCAGAGAAGAACGTCAATACTGGATCAAGAAATGTTGGACTCGATGACAAACACAAGGCCGCAACAGAGAGCCGGGAAGACACGCATTTCCTGGAGGAGCAATTTGGACGAAACTTAGATCTCTCATTTGTCGTCAACGCCAGAATGGTGATTCGTCGACGCCTAGCAGGTACCTTGTAGGCGAAGTGGGTCTTACATCTACAGCTGCAGTCAAACGATCGAGCTCGCAAATCAGTCCACGGGGAGTGTCCAGACTGTCCGTCGACGACGTTTACCTCTATTCGTGCGGCATGAATGCCATTTTCAACACGCACCGGATGCTGCTCGCAGTTCGAGGCCCACGGGAGAGTATCTCGTTTGGTTTCCCGTATGTCGACACCTTGAAAGTCTTGCAGAAATTCGGGCCTGGATGTCTGTTCTACGGGCATGGCTCCTTGAATGAGCTGAACGACCTAGAAGCCCGTCTGCAGGCTGGCGAACGGCACCTGGCCTTGTTCTGCGAATTTCCCGGGAATCAAATGCTGAAGAGCTACGATCTCCAGCGCATGCGCCAATTGCTCCACAAGTATGACTTCGCTGTGGTGGTGGACGAGACGATTGGCAACTTGGTCAATGTCCAGCTCCTTGCCCGGGCCGAAGTGGTGGTCAACAGTCTCACGAAGATATTCTCAGGCGACTGTAACGTGATGGGTGGCAGCGCTATCCTAAATTCCGAAAGCCGGTATTATTTGCCACTGAAGTGGTCGTTCGAAGCGGGCGTTCGAAGCGGATTTTGAGGATAACATTTATTGGGTCGAGGACGTTTTGTTCATGGAGCGCAATAGCCGGGACTTCGTGGCGCGCATCAGGATAATAAACGACAATGCTGAGGCCATCTGCCAAGTTTTGCAAGCCCATCCGCTAGTCAAGGACGTCTGTCACCCCAAGTAAATTCCGACGAAATGTTTCTATGATGGGTGTCGGACCCCCACGGGCGGGTATGGAAGTTTGCTGTCGTTCACGTTTCACCCGAAGAACATACGGTGGCATCCTTTGATCGCATCGAGACGGCCAAAGGGCCGAGTCTCGGCACGAAGTTCACCTTGACGTCGCCTTATGTTCTTCTCGCGTACTATCGGGAGTTGGAGTGGGCCGCGGGGTTCGGCGTACCGGCCGATTTGCTGCGCGTTAGTGTCGGGGTCGAGATTGTGGAGGACCTCAAGGCTCGGTTTGCGTTTGCGCTGGAAGCGGCCGAAGCGATCGGGTCGGGCACCGTGTGATCGTCGAGTTACCACAACATTGGAGCGCTTCCTGTCTGGTAGACTTGAGTATGTATTTCTACTCGTACGGAGTGGCGTATCAAGCTTTCGCAGATGAACGGACCACATGGGGAACATTGATGCTGTAGTTAGCTATACTTGGGGATGGAACTCGGGAGCTGCATAAGCAGTACCACCTGGCAGTATATTTGCGGTGTCAGATATAGCGAACTAATGTGACTGGTTTCTTGGCGTCGTGAATGGTGACTGGGTCAAGGCAAGGACGAGCAGGTCGAGTGATAATAAGTTCAATAGGAGGTAGTTTGGTTCGTTCGTAATCAACAGCCTTGTAGATTGTGTGGTAGATAAGACTTCCACCCGAGCCGATGGTGATTGGTTGCCACAACGGAGGAAGATAAGGAGTTTCATCTTCATTCTCGGAAGGTTTAGGAACAACCACCAGACTCCCATCCCATTGCACCAACTCATTCAATTGTGCTCCGTACTCACTGTACAGCTACAGTTCAGAACGCCAGTGGGGCAGATCTGCAAGGTTTGGAGAAACCTCGTGGTCATTACTGCGCCTCCCGATGGAGCTTCACGAAGGATGGCAAGTCCGCCAGGATCCAAGAATCAGCCCTGTCAGCGCAATGGCATACCAACATACAATACGTATCTGGCGGGAGATAAGGAACTCTCTTTGACCCCTTACCACCTGTGCATGCAATTGTCTACCTGACTAACTCTTAATTTACCACTGATAAGACACATGGATGACTATCTCCAGCCAGTCCCGATGCTGCCTGAACCGAAGGATTTCTCCCGGGCTGAATAGACTTCTCTCCTTATCCATACTCCCGCGCATTTGCATTATTGACCCTCTTCTGTCAATGAAATCCCTAATCTCCCTCCGCGTTTGAGTTTCGCATCACGAAGCATACCTACTGCTATCACTCCGAGTCTACCGGCCTGTTTGCCGCTTCCGACATGTAACCGACATGCAGCCATCAGCCATGGCTGATGGATTAGGCGTCCATGCACGATGAACAAGCCAATGCCGTGGAACTCTACTCCCAACATGCGCATCCACTTTCTCGACAGATCGGAAAATGAAAAAGAGTCATCCCAGCCAGCTGCAGGTCAGAGGAATACTGCCAAGTCAATCAATGTGAGAAATAACATTGGTCCGTGATGGCTCTCCTCCAGCAACTCCACCCGTCTGGATCCGCCGCCATGGCCAGTCCTCCGATATCTATCAGTAGATATCGCATGGTATTAAGACCAAACTAATCCTGTCGCCAAGAAAGAGGACATCCCCCAGAATGGCTCCGATGATGTGGAGCCCTTCCAGGGTTCGAAGCAAGTGAGACGATGGCGCTTTTCATCTGACTGGTAATATCTCCGGCCGCCGACTATCATCACCACTATTTATCACTCCTGCATCTCCCCCTGATCTGACCTCTCTTTTTTTTCTTAAGTATATTTGAAATCTATACTTTTCTTTTTATTATTGATCAGCAACCGAGTCATCCTAAATCGGTAACAGCTCAGATTCAATTATTCATCCATCAGTGCCCGGACTTTCCCCTGCTTGCTTTCCTTGCTGTCGGTCTAATACGTGCCTGTTCCTTCCATTGCCTTCGAGACCCCCTACGCTTGCGCACCGCCTGCGCGTTCGATAATACTTTAACCTCTTGCCAAGCTGTGGTAGACAGGCTGCAACCCACAGTTCTTTCTCTTCGATCCTGTAACAAGTTCCGTGCATCTTGTGAGATTCACGATGTCGGCGTATCCCGTTGCCTACAATGGCACGGGTGCAACGGGTGGTGATTCCCTGACGGAAGACCTCAACATTTATTACAGTGTAAGCTCCTTAGGCGCTTGATACTTAGCCTTTGCTAATTGTTATCAGTCCGGGGACATTGCTTGGGTGATTACCTCCACTGCCCTGGTGCTATTGATGATTCCGGGTGTCGGGTATGGGACCATTCCTAGTGTTCGATATAATAACTCCAGAGCTAACCCTACCAGCTTCTTCTATTCCGGTCTTGCTCGACGCAAGTCAGCTCTGTCGCTGATCTGGCTCTCGATAATGTCGGTCGGGGTGGTATCTTTCCAATGGTTCTTCTGGGGGTATTCGCTAGCCTTCTCCCACACTGCTGGAAGTTATATTGGAGACTTGCAGAACTTCGGTATGAAGGGTGTGCTGGGAGCTCCTTCCGTGGGCAGCACTAAAGTTCCGGATCTTCTGTTCGCCGTATTCCAGGGAATGTTCGCAGCTATTACGTGAGTATACCTTTGCTGTGATCCATTATAAGGCGGCATATCTGACAGTATGACGCCAGGGTGGCCCTTGCAGTCGGTGCCGTTGCTGAGCGCGGTCGCATGCTTCCTTGCATGGTCTTCAGCTTTGTCTGGACCACCATCATCTACGATCCCCTCGCCTGCTGGACATGGAACGCGTCCGGTTGGGTGTTCAAGCTAGGAGGTCTCGACTTCGCCGGTGGTACTCCTGTCCACATTGCCTCCGGCTCTGCCGCTCTTGCCTACTCTCTCATGCTCGGAAAGCGCCGTGGCCATGGAACGCACGAGCTCAACTACCGCCCTCACAATGTCACCCATGTTGTCATCGGCACAGTCTTCCTCTGGGTTGGATGGTTCGGTTTCAATGCAGGCTCCGCTCTGGCTGCCAACCTGCGCGCCGTGATGGCGGCCGTTGTCACCAATCTGGCTGCATCGGTGGGCGGTGTCACCTGGTGTCTCCTGGACTACCGACTTGAGAGGAAATGGTCTATGGTTGGATTCTGCTCCGGTGCCATTGCCGGTTTGGTTGCCATCACTCCAGGCTCCGGCTTCGTCACACCTTGGGCGGCCTTCATTTTCGGCGTGGTCGGTGCTGTTGCCTGCAACTATGCCACCAAGCTGAAATATGTGATCCAAATTGATGACAGCCTGGACATCTTCGCTGTCCACGGTATTGGTGGCCTTGTTGGCAACCTTTTGACCGGAATCTTTGCGGCGTATGTCTCTTTCTATGTCTCCGCTGCCAGCACCCCACTAACATTATGCTAGTGACTACATTGCTCATCTCGATGGCTCCACCGTCATCGACGGTGGATGGATCAACCACAACTACGTCCAGCTCGGCTACCAGCTCGCCGACTCTGTCTCCGGCATGGCCTACTCCTTCTTCGGCAGCTGCATCATTCTTTTCCTGATCAACCTGATCCCTGGTCTCCACCTGCGCATCTCCGAGGAAGATGAGATCCTGGGTACTGATGACGCCGAGATCGGTGAATTTGCCGTATGTCTTCCCAATTTGAGCCCTTCCATCATGTTGAGCAGAAAAACTTACCCTTAGCAAACAGTACGACTATGTCGAAATCACCCGCGACGTCATCGCCGGCACCAGCCCCGAGCACGCCGAGAGCTCTTCCAAGCGCAGCATCACGCCCGCCGGCAACGAGGAGTCGGTAGAACTGAAGGCGTGAATGGTGACTGGACCAGTTACTTCTCGGACAGGGTGGAACCACCACTCCACCTAATTTATTCCCTTTTTCTTGGAACTATATCCCATTTCCTTTTCTCTTCCGCAGGTCTCTGCCACTTTGATATCCCCCTCTTTTACTGTGAATATGTATATACTTTTCTTTTCTTGGTTTTATTCCCCCTTTCAAGGCTTCCTCTATTTGACTTTCTTACCTAATGTGACTGGTTATCGGTTCAATGTTTCTGGAGAAAAAATAATTGAATGAAGAAGTGTAATCAAAACTATACAACTTTCCATCCCGGTCCCTCACTCATCCTCAGGTAAAGCTACAAATCCCCTGACGTGCCTTGTATGGAAGCCTCAACCCTCTTCATATCCCCTTCCCCAACGATCTAGGAGATAGACGAGCCACAGCAAGAAGCAGATGTCTTCTCAGACAGAGGAACATACTACGCAGAGTACATTACTTACTCCCTCTTGGTGCCATCCCGTATAACTTCAATTACAGAATACTCTGCAGGAACTCGCCTACTTAGTTAGCTTTTTCAAAGTGACCTCCCCCCCCCCCAAACTGGCATCCTACCACCACCCGCTCGGATTGGGCTGTACTGTACCAGGCCGTGCTCGCAGCACCCACTGACTCCCACACCCATCAATACAATCAAGAAGCAAAGCTAAGCAGGCAGGAAGCCGCGCCTACCTCCAAATAATCCTCAAGCACTCGAACCAGTGCCAATTGTCGCCGGAGTGGCACCGGGAGGGTTTCATGTACATAGCCGAAAGGTATACTTATACATCACTTGGCCCCGCTTAGCACAGCTGTAGCGGGTGGGCGGACAGATGATCTATATACTCATAGTCTGTACGGTAATCCAGCCTTAGTAGCTAGACTTAAAGCCCCGGTAGGGAGTTAAGAACCCGAACCTGAAGAACCTTGAAGCCTGGAGCGCTCCGCTTAGCGCCGGCAGCATATGGCAGCGTGCTGATTGGTGGGGGCTTCAAGTATACCCAACTTGATGCTTGCTTGCCGAAAGCAAGTCACGTGACTTATATCACCTGTGTCGCTTCACCTCCTGTGGGTAATGTACAAGCCACTGTGTGCCAACCGCTTATCCCTAACCCGGTATTTTCTACTCCTTCCACATGTCTCAATAGACGTCATGAGATAATCCTACAAGTTCAAAGCCCGGGTGCTATCACCGCAGAAAACCCATAGGCGAGCAGAAGCGGCTCACATACGCTGCATATCAAGCAATAAACTATAAATTGCTTCGAACTATGTGCTATTGATTTGGATTGGTTCAGGCTTCCATCGGCCTAGGTAATTAAAAAACAGGAAGGGGGAAATTAAAGGCGCTCAAACGAAATAGTTCACCGACAATGGCCGGTACAACGAGCCAACGTCCTTTGCGAATGTAAGCTTATCAAGGGTATTAACGAGCGCATGTCCCGCTTTGCGTCATTCTTGACGGCCAAAAGTTTACTCCTGCTCATCAAGGATCTCCTCCTCGGGGCTGTGACAGAGTTAGTCATTACATCTCCGGCACGACAGTCGGGAAACTTACTATTCCTCTTCACCCTCGGAAATGGAGGCGTCCTGGTACTGCTGGTATTCGGAGACGAGATCGTTCATGTTGCTCTCAGCCTCAGTGAACTCCATCTCGTCCATACCCTCACCAGTGTACCAGTGCAAGAAAGCCTTGCGACGGAACATGGCAGTGAACTGATCACCCACACGCTTGAAGAGTTCCTGGATAGAGGTCGAGTTACCGATGAAGGTAGAGGACATCTTGAGGCCACGGGGAGGGATAGAGCAGAGAGCAGTCTGGATGTTGTTGGGAATCCACTCGACGAAGTAGGTCTGGTTCTTGCTCTGGATGTTGCGCATCTGATCCTCAACCTCCTTCATGGAAACACGTCCACGGCTAGATTCAGTCAGTACGAAAGTCACGACGCAATAGGATACGGGCAGCGTACAAGATGGCGGAGCAGGTGAGGTAACGGCCGTTGCGGAAGTCCGAAGCAGCCATCATGTTCTTGGGGTCGAACATCTGCTGGGTCAACTCAGGAACAGAGACGGCGCGGAAAGAGTGAGCGCCACGGCTGGTCAGAGGAGCGAAGCCGACCATGAAGAAGTGGAGACGAGGGAAAGGAACCATGTTGACAGCCAGCTTGCGGAGGTCGGAGTTAAGCTGACCAGGGAAACGAAGACAGGTGGTCACACCGGACATGACGGCGGAGACCAAGTGGTTCAGGTCACCGTAGGAGGGGTTGGAGAGCTTGAGAGTACGCATGCAGATGTCGTACAGAGCCTACAGCAATTTTCCGGTCAATTTATGCGCCTTTCACCCATACCGGCCGGGTCACCCATATCCGCCATATCTCCCAGAACATACCTCGTTATCGATACAGAAGGTCTCGTCGGAGTGTTCAACAAGCTGGTGGACGGAGAGGGTGGCGTTGTACGGCTCAACAACAGTGTCGGAGACCTTCGGGGAGGGAACGACGGAGAAAGTGGCCATCATACGGTCGGGGAACTCCTCACGGATCTTGGAGATCAAGAGAGTACCCATACCGGCACCGGTACCACCACCGAGGGAGTGGGTGATCTGGAAACCCTGGAGGCAGTCGCAGCCCTCAGCCTCGCGACGGACGACATCGACAACCTGGTCGACAAGCTCGGCACCCTCAGTGTAGTGGCCCTTGGCCCAGTTGTTACCAGCACCGGATTGACCGAAGACGAAGTTGTCGGGGCGGAAAAGCTGGCCGAAAGGACCGGCACGGACGGCGTCCATGGTACCGGGCTCGAGGTCGACCAGGACGGCACGGGGAACATACTTGTTGCCGCTAGCCTGGTGAAGCAGTCAGGAGCTGATGCGGGAAAGCCGGAGGGAGGACTCGAAGACGAACCTCGTTGAAGTAGACGTTCATGCGCTCCAGCTGGAGGTCGGAGGAGCCATTGTAACTGTCCTTTCCATTAATATCCTTCACCATTTTCCGCGACCCGCTGGTCCTGCCGCCCGGGAAGTCTGCACTTACACACCGGCGCCATCGAGGCCGTGCTCACCAGAGATGGTCTGCCTGGAAGATTGTTAGCTCAATTGACCACAGAGAAGCTTTGACAGTAATGTTCTTGACTCTGGGTGAGAGTCTACAGAACATGTCATCTATCCATTCACTCGAGTAGAGACATACCAGAAAGCGGCACCAATTTGGTTACCCTGTCACCAGCACCCATGTTTTAGTCCACTGCATGAATATATCGAACCGCAAAGGTTGTGTGTCCCAGCACGAATTCACTTACACACTGACCGGTCTGGAGGTGAACCTGTTGGGTGGGAAAAGACTAGGTTAGCTGCATGATCCTTATATTGAACAACTGGTGGGGGCGCATCAGGGGAGTCAAGTCTAAACGACGCGTCTCCCGTGGCGGACAACAACGGAGGGGGGGTAGACCACATACAATTTCGCGCATTGTGAAAGGTGATTGAAGTTGAGGAGGAGAAAGAGTGGGTTGACAGATGTCGAAGAATGGAGGAATGTAGGGATTAGGTGGAGGAGACTGGGTAAGACAGTCGAAGTGGAAGGAGGAAGGGAGAAAACGAGGAATTGGGTTAGTTTGGAGAGTTTGGGTAGAGAAGGAGAGCGGTGAAGGAAGGGTGGTGGGGGGGAAGGGGGGGGTTGTTTAGGGAGAGTTAGTGGTGCAGTAGCAGTGAATTGTTACCTGAGCACCCCCCGATCAACAACAAAAAAGTCAACAGTGAACACAAGCTGAGTTGGACCGTGGCTTGATTGTTTTCTTCCGGCAGTCCAAATATTAAGGGGAAAATCCCAAGAAGGAAAGTACTCAGCCCGATCGGGTTTGGCGTGTCAGTTGGCCAGCACGGGATTCGTTGGAAGGGTTGAATTCATGCCTCAGAAGTCAGGCTCGCAACCAGCACACGCGAACCGAATTTTGATCTACGACCGAGCCTCCCGTCTGGTTCATGGCATGTGTTTTGTTATGGATACGGATTTGGTCGTTCTTTGTTTCCCCGCTGGATGAGGTCATTACTTCTTTGAAATATTTCTTTTGCTATAGTACACATGTTCTTCATTAAGGTTGATTATGACTACGGGAATCACAGTCCCTTGCCCACAAAGTTCAGCAAATTGCCCGTTGGGGGATACAGATCTGCTTGCTGTCCATGATACCTGAAAATAGATGTCTCCCCATATCGCTGCTGCTGTTCCTGCTACCGCCGCTGCTCTCACTTGGCAGTATTCTCCACCGTGTGAGAGCTTTCCAACCACGTGCCAAATTCATCCAAGCGCTGCTCTTCCTCCGAATCTTCGGCATCCAACCCTTTCTCGGCCAAATCTTCCAGCGCTGCCCGCTTCTCATTGGTCTTCTTGAACTTCTCTTTCCCATCGGAAATGTACGCTTCCACGCGCGTGCCAGCGAAATAGCGCCCATCCATCATCTGGGCGACATGAACTGTTAGCATGTACCATTTGAGTTGAAGAAAGTAGATATCATGCGGATGCAACCCACCTGGACACAGTTGCGAGCCGCCTCCGGATCCTGGAAGCGGACGCTCACAATCCCCTCCGGCTCCTTGTCGTAGAGAACAACATTCGTAATCTCCCCGAGCTTCGAGCATTCATCGCGAATATCTTCCTTGATGTCGAGTATAGCGGCAGGGTCCTCCTGTCATAACGAGTCAGACCTTTTCATGAACATCGCAGCACGAGAACGGATTCCGTACATCTAATTCTTTCAGAGTGAACATATGTTTCAGAATGACAATCTTCTCAAAGCGAGAGCTTGTATCTGGAAGGGCCGACGGATCGTCATCGTCCCAATCGGCAAGTTTACTACCAGTCGCCAAATTAGTATCATCAGCATCGACAACCTACCCCACCGTCTGAGGGAGTCTCCTTACTTGTTAAGTTTCTGGGTCCGCTGAATGATCTTCCGCTTATCGCGCATGCTCGTCTTCGTCGGGGCCTCCTGTTGGCTCTTGAAGGAGAAATCCGCCGCCTGCACGCGCATCGCCCCCTGCGGGCCCGTCACGCCCAGCCGGAAGTCCGAGTCGTCCAGCATCTGAATGGCCAAGTTCACCGACTCCGGCCGGAAGTAGACCACGAGCGCCTCGCCCTTGAACTTCCCGTCGTCGTCGTTGTACATCTTGATGCGCGGGCGGCCGCTGTCGATCTCCTCCGCAATCACGCCGCACTTGGAGAAGAGGTCGCGGATCTCGTCGAAGGTGGCATCGAGGGGGATAGACGTCACGAAGACGGCCGTGTTGACGCGCTGTTTCTTCGGTTTCTGTCCATTGCCCTGCACAGATCGAAAACCCCCGAGCTTTGCTTAGCGTTGCTGGCTTTGGAACCTTCGTAGACAAACAAAAGGTTGACAGGTAGGAGTGAGTTGCAAACTGACCTCTTCACCATTGCCCTGCTGTTTGCGCTTCTTCTTCAATTGCGACGCCGTCACCTGTTCATCTTCATCCACCCCGTGTACTTTGTAGGCTTCTTGCTGTTTCTGGAGCAAGTCATCGTCGACCTGGAGAGAGCAACACCCACCACCACCCAAGCGAAAAAATCAGTTTTCACGAACCAACCATACACCAGGCAGAAAAAGGTAGCCCCCTTTTCCCGGCTTGTTTTTCACATGCACGCGAACCGATTTCTCCATAGATGAAAAATAGTGCTCCGGATCGCCGGAGCAGCAAAACCGAGGGGGGGGGGAGAAGGAACTTTCAACAGCCCGGTAGGTACAGAGCCCACAGGTCACTGCCAACCAAGGCCGAAGAGAGACAGATGGAGAGAGCGCGCTACACACCGTCGGGATCCACCGCTTCAGAGCGGTGTCGTATTCATATTCTTGACCGTCGTCGGTCTCCAGGATGAACTTATCGTCGAGTTTCGAGAATGAGATGCGCGGGTCGCTGTCGAATTCGGAGGGGTCTTGCGGGAAATTGGCGAATGGCGCCGGGTTCGAGGCGGCGTCGTTCGATGAGGGTGACGCCATTTGCGGATGTGTGTGCTGGAGCCAGCGCTCTGCAATGCGACTGTATGTAGCTAATATGCGGGCAGCTTATTAAATTGTTTTGGGGAGGGTGTAGCTGTATGAAAAGATGCAATGCCAGAATTGAGTTAATGGGGTTTGGATGAGATCACCGATTGCCCCGTCGGCGTTTGCGTTTGCGGGGAGATGCTTTGCTTGCTGGGTTTATGTAATCTTCTTCGAAGCTTCCGTGACGATGGAGCAGCCTTGGCTGGCCGGCTTCTACTGCAGTACATAGTAGTTCTCCTCAACCACTTCTGCGCAAGAACTTTTCGGTTCACACCCACCCCGCTGCTACAGATTCCGTTGCTATATCTTCATTAGCAGTAGGGCCAAGCAAGAGCTTTATCAGAGGCACTCATATGTAAAGGAAAGTTGCAATTCATGCCGATAGCTCAAGGCACTCCCAACGCCTCAATCACGGGGGACCTCAGAAATCGCCTAGAATCCCTAAGTATTCTACTCCGTACAGACCCACATACTAGCTAAAGGACATACTATGTACTATATAGATAATGTAGACACTCAACCTCGAATAGAGGATCTCCAAACAACATCTTTTCCCCTCTACCCCCGCAGGAGAATCACCCCATACAGCCCCTCAAAATCTGACAGAATACAAACGAAGGTGCTAGCAACCGTCGCTTTGAAATCGAAATATAGTGGTAGCTTACAAATGGCACTGCGCTTAGTCCATACATACCAAGCCCCCATCTATACCACTCCCAAAGATACGAGTATTGGTACCAAGTTCACGACGTATAAATAGGGATCACACTCTGGACAAACCATGAGCCGAAATCAGAGATTATTCAAGCGCATCCTCTTTAGCGATATTCTAACAGCATCAATTACCAAGACAATCAATTGCCCCTAATCATAATGTCTACCTCGCGAGCCAAAATCGTCTTTGGCGCCGGCCTCGTCAACGACAGCAGCAAGCTCAATACCGCGGAGAAGACCACCGAGATCCTCCAAGTTCTGAAGCGTCACAACATCACCCAAATCGACACGGCGCAGATCTACGGCCGCAGCGAGGAACTCCTGGGCCAGGCCAACGCCGCAGCGCAGGACTTCGACATCGACACCAAGCACGGCGGGGGGTTCCGGCCGGGGCGCGCATCGCGAGAGGCGGTCATCGCAGATGCAGAGGAGAGCTTGAGGAAGTTGAACACTGACTCGGTATGCACCTCCCTCCCACCTTTCCCCCAAGCTGTCGACAGTCACAGCAGAGAGATAAGCGAAGCTTACCATAACCCCCTCCAGGTCAACATCTTCTACATCCACGCCCCCGACCGCACCGCCCCCATCGAGCCCACTCTCGCCGGCATCAACGACCTCTACCACGCCGGCAAGTTCAAGCACTTCGGCCTGTCGAACTTCACCGCGGCGGAGACCGAAGAAGTCCTCCGCCTCTGTCAGGAACACGACTACGTGCGCCCGACCGTCTACCAGGGGAACTATAACGCCATCTCGCGTCTCATCGAGTCGAGCCTCTTTCCCTTGCTGCGCGAGCACGGCATCCAGTTCTACGCGTACAGCCCCATCGCCGGCGGGTTCCTGACCAAGACGAGCGAGCAGCTCCGGACTGCGAGCGGGTCCGGCGGCCGCTGGGATCCGGACTCCGGGTTCGGAAAGGTCTATCGGGGTCTGTACATGAAGCCGGAGATGTTGAGGGTCCTGGACACTTGGAACGAGGTCGCGGAGAAGGCGGGAATCTCCAAGGCCGAGTTAGCGTACCGGTGGGTGGCGTATCATTCCGCGTTGGACGGGGAGCTTGGTGATGCGATTATTGCGGGGGCGAGTGGTGTCGAGCAGTTGGATCAGACTCTGACGGCCCTGGAGAAGGGGCCCCTCGAAGATGAGGTTTTGAGGCAGATCGAAGCCATCTGGGAGGTCGCGAAGGAGTTTGCGGTCTTGGATAATTTCAATTCGCGCTAAGGGGGTCTGGCAGTTTGCTGCTGATTTAGAGTCCAGACATCGTATTAGTTGGAAAAATATGACAGATTTATTATTTTTGATACTGAGTGATAGACCTGAACAATTTTCGATATTCGTCACAACCGCCTGGAAGATGAAACCAAACAATCAGGCCGAATACTGTCAATTCCAGAGCTGTGATCAGAACTCCAAAAGGTCAGTTTTTCTCATTGGCTAGAGTATCTTAGATGAAAGGACATTGTCCCCTCCGCGAAGACCCCAACTCCTCTGTGATCTGCTGCAGTTCTTTCCGGCCCCGTCCTTCAAAGTACTTCGGGCCTACATCAGGGACGTAGTAGCCCTGCGGATAATACTTCTTCCCCTCATCACCAGGTAAAGGCCGGCCGAAAGCCCAGGTCAACCAGGCGACTGGACCCCAGCGGTTCCGCAACGTGGGTTTCGCGTAGTAAGGCGCTGCATCCCATTCCGTGGAGAAGATGCGACCATGTTCGTCCACATCCGTGAAAGTCTTATACCGCAAGATATACGGCCGGGGAAGGGCGAGGTGGCGCATCGCAAACCGGCGCACGGCCAGCAAGCCCGCGAAGACCCGAGCATATGCTGTCGGAGGCGGGTCGTACCTAGAAGTGACATCCAACCGGGTCAGCGACGTTACTCAGATGATGTCGCGGGTCTTGAGGTAGCACAGGGGCGCCCAAGCGGGGCGAATGGGAAACCTACATCATAGCTTTTCGCAGACGGTCGTCCATCATATAGGACACAAACTTCAGCCCAACATGCTTGAACGCTTCAGGGACCATGTACAGCAGCACTTCCGTGGTCTGGTCGGCCGTTTCTCGGTTCTTGACATGGGGTACCATGCATTTCGCTTCGTAGGCATCCGCCCAGGCAATCGCCTCCTCCAACCAATGCAAGCCGTCCTGAAATCCATTCTTGCCTGACGGCAGGGCATCGTAGCTGATGTTGAGGTTATCGCCAACACTCTTCCAGAAGGTACCGATGGCACATCTCTCCAGGTCAGTCGCGCCTCGCCATTCGTATTTCTCCAGGAATCGGACGGGCTGCACGGCGAAAAGAGCTAGCGTGTACAGCATGTCATCCTCGAGGATCTCACCCGAGGCGCGATACCCATTGTGCATCCAGCGGGTGCGCGCGATGGCGATACGAGCACGGTGAGACGATGGAGCATTGCCCATAAATTCCTGGATCAAGACCACCGTGTCAGCGTAGCGCTTCAGGGAGGTCTCCGGCTTCGAGAACTGTGCCGTGCCCGCGAGCAGCTTAGAGATGGTCGGGATGCCGTAGGTCTGTACCGGGGAGTTGTCAGTGGTCTCAGATGGCACAGAATGTCGCAACGAAAAAAAATAAAAAAAGAAGAAGACTAACTCGGAATAGTGCGAATTGGAGGGACTTCAGGTAAAAGAAAGGAAATTCCTGCTCTAGCATGGTTTTCTGAATCGCCCACGCGTCATCATCGGTCATGCGAGCGAAGGACTCGCGCGTGGGATAGTTGTATCGCTTGTGCATCCATTTCACTATGCGAAACCGCAGAAGATTCACCAGAGTGACATACGAAGTTATGGCGAGAATGAAGTATGTCACGTAGGGATGAGACCAGGCGCCTGAAGAGAACAGCGACGGCCCCTTCCACTCGGAAGAGTTCCCCGTAGCATTCGCCATCGGTATTTCAGTGGCCGGCTCGCAATCTCTGCTCAATTGCTCTGACAGAGGCTCGTAGATTGATGTGATATGGGGGAAATGTCAAGTCTAAGATAACCTTGGTGGAGACTCCGCACAGGCTCCGAGGGATGATAGATTAGCGGGTACCGTGGCGGATAAGGACCGATGGGAGTTCCATGGATTATCCGGGGTCACGGGTCTGGGGCAATAGTTCTGTAAGTTAGTGGCTGCCCTGGGGCCTGGGGCTGCATCTTCAGTCTCCGCATCCGCCGGCGGGCCAAGGCGGTGAGCTTTCTTTATAGACACTGGTGATGCCTTCATATTGCCATCCCATTCAGCGAAAGCAAGCTACTTCCTTGATGCGAAGCGACCATAGCAATACAAGCTTTTGGCCACAGACGGCTCCCCTGTTCAACCCGAAAGTGACTGCTAGAGAGTTTGTGCATCGCCTGATGTGCGCTGCGCCAGCTTAGAGTAGCTCCTCTCGACGACTAGCATTGTACAACTGACAAATTGGAGCTGATAACATATGAACATCTCGCTCTAGGTAGACGCATACTATAAAGCACTTCAACATCCAATGATGAGGCTGAAATATCACGTCAGGGCCGACAACTAAGAGCTTGACTCTTTGTGGGAACAATGGTCGAGAAAGCACGTGAGTAGAAAGCAGAGAGCAGGGACACAATATCCCACAGACCGAGGATGCATCCCCGGAACATTTACTCCCAGTACAGACAGGGCTTGGCGAGTCCACATCAGAGTATGCACAGGTTGTCAAGCCTGACGCGGCATAGTGATCCGATGCCGCAGCTGGCCTCACGCGATCAGCCAACCGTTTGAAAGTAGGCGATAACTCGGAGAAAAACGTCACAGGCCCATGTGAGTCTCTCTCAAGAGAGAGTCAAAAGAACACCATGAGCTCATCTTCCATACCTCCCGATTTTCCGGTTTATGATCCAGCCAGAAAGTAAACCCACCTTTCCGGCTGTCTTTTACCCCACGACTGGGGGCAAATCGATGATCTTCCACGCGATATTAAGGGACCCCCCCCCAAAAAAGAGAGATGCATCTGCTACTCATAAGAAAGCCAAACAGGTTTGTTGCTTTCCCAGGATCACGTTGTAATGGCTCCTTCCCCTTACATGGTTGGAGCATTCCGTTGGAATGTATAGTAGAGCTTAAAATGGCAATATCAACAATGGTATGTGGTCACCCTCCAGCCACATGACTTTCTCCGTTGCGAAGAAAAAAACCACATCACCCTTCAACCTATGAGATCAGAAAGCAAGAAAAAAAGGCTGGTGACATTCATACATGCGATGACAATACGTAGAAAGGGG